CCTGGCCCGGGAAAGAGACAAAGGCCAGAGAGGGAGGGGCTGGAGGGGGATTCAGTTTGGAGCCGTCTAGGGACGGGGAGTGAGTGCAGACGGGATTGTCTGGCTCGCTAGGCCCCAGAATGGACCCGGCTGGGGGTCCCGTTCTCTGTACCTACAAGCTCTGTTTTAGACCATGTTCCTGTCATCTAATAAACCTCTGATTTACTGGCTGGTTAAGAGTCATGTCTGACTGCGAAGTGGGGATGCAGGACCCTCTGGCTTCCCCAGGACCCCGCCTGGGCGGACTCGCTGTGGGAAGCGCACGGAGGGGCATATGCTGAATGCTCCAAGGTCAGACCCAGGAGGTGAAGCCGTGTGAGCTTCTTGCCCTGCAGACAGTCTGCTCCAAGGGAGAGGAGGCTCCCCAAAGTCCTGACTGGCTTTGTGGGGAGCAGTTCCAGAGCATCGCCCAGGGACTCCGTGGGTAATGGGGGAAATAGCCAAGGGTGATGGCTGTATAATTTCTTGTTTTTCCATATTAGGCCGAAGCAAGTAAAGTCAAGAGATTTCAACCATTTTAAGGGAGGCAGTGGACCAGTGGATAAGGTCCTGGGCTAGGAGTTGAGGGACCTGGGGGTTCTAGTCTTGCATGGTGACTGTGGGCATGCAACGTAACCTGTCTGTGCATCCATGGCCCGGTCTATGAGCCGCTTTATCATAAAATCATAGGCCTGGAAGGGACTTTGAGAGGTTGGGATGTCGCACTCCGTATGATTTTATGAAAATATGCTAATGAGTGTGAATATAATGTAACTGGAATATACTTCATGCAAAAGGTCTCTTGTAAGGCATCATTACAAAGCTTATAATCTGCTGAGTGTGGTCATCCTATTTGTATGAATGTATCATTCTTGTATCTGAAACTAGAATATGAAATATAACTCTGAGGGCCTATTGTAATTATGCAAAGTGTGGGCCATTAATGGTGGTTTGGAATCTTGATGGCTCCCATTAACCAGGACAATTGACTGTAGATAGCTCTGTTTACTTGCAAGCCTTCCTGTGAGTCAGGCCGGGAAGAATGAAGGCTTGGGGTCTCACAGGACATGTGACCGTGTCACCTGCTACTGGAATCCATCTTACACCTGGTGCTTTTCCATTTAGAAGGAGAGGTGGGGACACAGAGAGACAAAAGATTCCTGCCTTGTGCCAAAGCTATAAAAGGGGGTGGAACAGAACAAAGGAGGTTCCAGTCATGAGAAATCCCCTAGTTACCACCTGAGCTGAAGCTAACAAGGATTGTACCAGGGGACAGGATTGGGCCCAGACTAGGACGGCGTCTAGTCTGTGAAAGAAGCTTATTGGAACATCTCTGAGGGTGAGATTTCATCTGTAATCAGTTTCTTAAATGTATTAGGCTTAGACTTGCGTGTTTTGCTTTATTTTACTTGGTGACTTGCTTTGTTCTGTCTGTTATTACTTGGAACCACTTAAATCCTACTTTTTATACTTAATAAAATCACTGTTTGCTTATTAATTAACCCAGAGTAGTAATTAATACCTGGGGGAGCAAACAGCTGTGCATAACTCTCTATCAGTGTTATAGAGGGCAGACAATTTATGAGTTTACCCTGTATAAGCTTTATACAGAATAAAGCGGATTCATTTGGGATTTGGATCCCACTGGGAGCTGGGTGTCTGGGTGCTAGAGACAGGAGCACTTCTTAAACTGTTTTCAGTTAAGTCTGCAGCTTTGGGTCGCATGGTTCAGACCCTGGGTCTGTGTTGGAGCAGACTGGCATGTCTGGCTCAACAAGGCAGGGTTCTGGAGGCCCAAACTGGCAGAGAAAACGGGCGGTAGTCTCAGCACATCAGGTGACAGTCCCAAGGGGATCTCTGTGACTGAACCCATCACAGGGGTCATCTAATCCAGTCCCCTGCACTCATGGCCATTCCTGACAGGTGTTTGTCTAACCTGCTCTCAAAAATCTCCAATGATGGAGATTCCACAACCTCCCTGGGCAATTTGTTTCAGTGCTTAACCACCTTGACAGGAAGTTTTTCCTAATCTCCAACCTAAACCTCCTTTGTTGCAATTTAAGCCCATTGCTTCTTGTCCTATCCTCAGAGGTTAAGGAGAACAATTCTTCTCCCTCCTCCTTGTACAGTAACAACCTTTTACATGCTTGAAAACTATTATCATGTCCCCTCTTAGTCTTCTTTTCTCCAGACTAAACAAACCCAGTTTTTTCAATCTTCCCTCCTAGGTCATGTTTTCTAGACATTTAATCATTTTTGTTGCTCTTCTCTGGACTTTCTCCAATTTGTCCACATCTTTCCTGAAATGTGGCACCTGGAACTCTACACGACACTCCAGTTGAGGCCTAATCAGCGGAAGAATTAATTCTCATGTCTTGCTTACAACACTCCTGCTAATACATCCCAGTATGATGTTCGCTTCTTTTGCAGCAGAGTTACACTGTTGACTCATATTTAGCTTGTGATCCACTATGACCCCAGATCCTTTTCCGCAGTACTCCTTCCTAGGCAGTCATTTCACATTTTTTATGTGTGCAACTGATTGTTCCTTCCTAAGTGGAGGACTTTGCATTTGTCCTTATTGAATTTCATCCTATTTACTTCAGACCATTTCTCCAGTTTGTCCAGATCATTTAGAATTTTAATCCTGTCCTCCAAAACAACCCCTCCCAGCTTGGTATTGTCCGCAAACTTTATAAGTGTATTCTCTATGCCATTATCTAAATCATTGATGAAGATATTGAACAGAACCAGACCCAGAACTGATCCCTGCAGGATCCCACTCATTATAACCTTCCAGCATGACTGTTGAACCACTGGATAACTAGTCTCTGGGAATGGTTTTCCAGCCAGTTGTGCACCCATCTTCTAGTAGCTCCATCTAGGTTGCATTTCCCTAGTTTGTTAATGAGAAGGTCAGGTGAGACAGTATCAAAAGCCCTACTAAAGTCAAGATATACCACGTCTACCACTTTAAACAGCTTTTTGATGCTCTTGGAAGAAGTGGAGAGTATTGCTGTCAGCAGTTTGCTTGTTCAACTGAAATGCAAAACCATTTTCCTTCTCCATTCCCAAAAGCTGGGAGTTTAACTCCATCGCCATCTTGCTGCTCTCATTTGGCCACGGTGTCTCTTGAGTCTTCTTGGCTGTGCTTTTACTGATCAGAGCAGCCAATGCTTTTGTGCGGCTCCCCCCTGCAGTGTATAGATGAACAAGGAAAGAAGCTACTTACTGATGCACTAGCTTTTCTTGCACTTATTTACTTCTGGGGGAATTCTGATTCACTGCGCATGTGCAGAATTCATGTTGGGTGCAGAATTATTTTTTTCCTGCAGAAAATACATTCTGCCCAAGAAGCGCTGCAGTTCCACCTTTCGCCCACCAGAGGCCGCTGTGGTGCATGAAGAGCCGACTGCGTTCATTACATTAGCCTGCCCATGGAGCCCGGTTAGGAGGCAGCGTGAGGCACAAGGCGTTGCTGGGAGATCACAGACTTGGGTTCAAAAGGGCTAGTGTGGGGAGGGGGGGGCAGAGTGGGGCATAGGGTCAGGAACTAGTGGGGTGACAGCATTGAGCAAAGGGCTGAATGGGAGGGGGGCTCCAGGGCCACACGGGAATGGGGAAGATGTGCCTGACTGAATGGGAGGGCTTGAGATCAACCAGGGTGTGCCTGGGGGAGTCCCTAACTCCCTAACAATTGCTCCCCTCTGCCCCCCAAAGAAACTGTTCCATACTTCTCCCACCCACACCCAATAGCCTTCCAGGTTCGCTCCCAGGCTCCTTCCCACTCCCTCTGTTCCTCCGTTAGCCCTGACTCCCCCAAGCCTTTGCACTGCTTCTGAGGGGTGCGGGAAAGATGTTTCTGTATTGTAGTTTAAATGAATTACTCAAAGTTCTTGTATTAATCCATCTAGTAAGGAATCTATCTGTCAAAAAAATAATAATTCCTGTGTCTTTTTTTGTTCTATATTGTTACAGACATACTTACTGACAGGTATTTTGAAATAAATTACCAAAATAATTGAAACTGGTGTGATTATGTTGTGTTATTTTGACAAATAAAATATACAGAATTTTGCAAAATTTTAAAATATTGTGTGCAGAATTTTTAATTTTTTGGCGCAGAATCCCCCTAGGACTAGCACTTGCACCTGCCCTCACTGGTGCTGCACGTAACACTGACAAGGTTGCAGTGATAATGCTCGGCTCTCCCGGCATCTCGAGTGCCCTTGCTTAAAGGCTTGAGATGACCCTTTAGGGAGAGTATTTCAGCAGAGGACAGCTTGAATTCGCTGTTCATTGGGAAGGCAGGTCATGTGATGTGCATTGCACATGACTTCTTGCTTTCGATCTCTTTCCCACTCTTCTATCTCGCAGAGCTTGTGCAGCGTTTCTTGGAGCTACGGTTCTGTGAGCATAACTACATTATTGGAAAACTATGGCTTTTGCACCACATCTAATTGAATGTGAAAGCTGACAACTGGTTTAGCTGCTGTGGTTTCCTATTCTGGAGTGCCAAGGCCACCAGGTTGTCAGCATAATTCACCACAACATCTTGGTTTGTTCTGCATCAGTGGTAGTGTAGGGTGGTGCTAATAGGGGAAGGCAAGGGTCCTTGATGGAGGGCTGGCGATTTCCTGCTGTAAAATTAATAATTGAACACATTTGCAGATGAGCGTTAAAAAGAGGAGTTGAGTGGGAATTTACTCATCGCTTTGGAGAACAAGAATGGAAAGCAGTTCTTGTGTGTGCTGCTGCTCCTCCGAAGCCCCTTCTGAGCAAATCAGCTATGTAAAGTATTCATAACTTGATGAGTAGGGACTTATGCATGTGGCTCCCAACAGCACTAAATTCACCATGCTTTGCAATAAGACCTAATTCCTGGAGTATTTTGCTTAAAATAGTAAAACTGGATGGCTGTTAAGGGAAAACTAAACCAGATGGAAAGAAATGGTTGCTTTCAACCTCTTTCTTTTTTTCAGAGTCAGGATGCCGAGGAAGAAGAAGCATGCAGAAAGCCCTGACTTTCAGGACCCAGACGGGGAGGAGGAAGAGCCGAGGGGCCTGGTCGACGCCAAAAAGAAGCGTAGTTTTGTGGATGCCTTTATTGTTATATCTGACAGCGATGGAGAGGTCAGTGGTTTAAAAAAAGCGGAACCCAAAATCCTGACTGGGGCATGCTTATCTACCAGTGTATTCCTGACAAGAGACTGTCCTGAGTGGTACCTACCATGCATCTTGGGGCAGCCTGCTTCACTTTGCCATTAGTGTTCTGCTCTGTTTCTTTTCAAGGTGTAGTTCAGATTAATCATGTCCCATTTGACTATGAAATGAGCCGTCTGATTGGCTGGTGCTGAGTCATGTCTCTGAGATTTGATAACCAAAACCTGTCCAAACAGAATCTGAAATCTAATTTAAATCATGTTTCCTCAATCACCTCGCACATCTTTTCAAACTTTTTATTTTATTGCTGTTTAACTAAATCACAGAAATGTGATTCTGTTACATGCAAGTAACTGTTCAAAGTACAGCTAGTGTCAGATCATGAAACTGAATTATGGAAGCTTGAGTGTAATCTACTCTCATCCTTAACCACTAAGCCGTCAGAGGTAACTGCATTGTTTAGGGTAGTCTGGAGGTGACTGATAGCGTCAGTGGTTCAGGGGAGCTCCAGAGCCTAGGGGCCTGAACTCATGACATGGAAGGTATGTGAGACAGGACCTGATTTGAAACAATATTTTCATTTGTAATTGTTAAGTCTTGGCTTTGCTTTGCTCTGTCAGTGATTTGGGAGCCTAAGACGCTTTTAGAATTATACAGTTTTAACAAGCATTTCCGTTCACTTGCAAGCTATAGATCTTAAATCAAGTGCCCTTAGTGCCCACATCTAGAGCATCAGTCTTGACAATAAGGCAATTAACATGTGAGGAGAGGGAAAGCACTAGCAGTAAGCAGAAAAAACAAGCTGTAGGGCACATGCTATTGGCTGTTATTTCTGCACATTATCTGAGCTCTACCCCATTGGGAAATTCCCTTAACTAGACAGATCTAGAATGTCTGGCAGTAATAGGTCACTGGGGCTAAACCCTCAAGCTCTGCAATAAGCTAAGTTAACTTCAGATGTCTGCTGAATCGCGGCCTTTACTGTGAAACCGATAAGGAAAGAAGAAACCAACAGCTGTAAGAGATGTTGACGTAGATGAACGATCAGGAGCTCTCATTGTCCACAATTATTCCTCTTAACATGCATGTGATTTGTCTCCTCACTTTCAAGCATCTTTTAAAACATGACTATGAAAAGATTAATCTCCCTGACTGTATGATCAAGTCTATAAACAAAAATGGGAAATCATGCCTCACCAATCTATTAGAATTCTTTGGGGGGGGTCAACATACATGTGGACAAGGGGGATCCCATGGATATATTGTACTTGGACATTCAGAAAGCTTTGACAAGGTCTCTCACCAAAGGCTCTTAAGCATAGTAGGCATGGGATAAGGGGAAAGGTTCTTTCATAGATCAGTAATGGGTTGGAAGGCAGAAAACAAAGGGTAGGAATAAATGGTCAGTTTTCACAGTGGAGGGAGGTAAATAGTGGGGTCCCCCAAGGATCTGTACTGGGACCAGTGCTGTTCAAAATATTCATAAATGATCTGGAAAAATGGGTAAACAGTGAGGAGGTGAAATTCGCAGATGATACAAAGTTATTCAAGGTAGTGAAGGCCAAAACTAACTGTGAAGAGTTACAAAGGAATCTCACAAAATTGGGTGACTGGACAAGAAAATGGCAGATGAAATTCAGTGTTGATAAGTGCAAAGAAATGCACACTGGAAAACATAATCACAACTATACATACAAAATGACGGGGTCTAAATTATCTGTTAGCATGCAAGAAAGAGACCTTGGAGTTATTGTGGATAGTTCTCTAAAAACATCCACTCAATGTGCAGTGGCAAATAGCGAAAAGCATGTTCGGAACCATAAGGAAAGGGATAAATAATAAGACCGAAAATATCTTGAGGCCACTATATAATCCACAGTAAGCCCACACCTTAAATATAGATTGTAGTTCTGGTTGCCCCATCTCAAAAAAAGATACATTAGAATTGGGAAAAGTACAGAGAAGGGCAACAAAGATGAGTAGGGGTGTGGAACAGCTTCTATATGAGGTGAGATTAAAACGACTGGGACTGCGCAAGAGACAAGGGGGATATGATGATAGAGGTCTAGAAAATCTTGACTACTCTGGAGAAAGAGACTAGGGAAGTGTTATTTACCCCTTCCCATAACACAAGAACCAGGCGTCACCTGATGAAATTAATAAGCAGCAAGTTTAAAACAAACGTATGAAAGGACTTCTTTACGCAACGCACAATCAGCCTGTGGAACTGATCAGGGGATGTTGTGAAGGCCAAAAGTATAACTGGGTTCAAAAAAGAATTAGATAAGTTCCTGGAGGATGGGTCCATCAGTGGCTATTAGCCAAGATGGGCAGGGTCACAACCTCCTACTCTGCGTGTCCCTAAACCTCTGATGGCCAGAAGCTGGGACTGGACAACAGGGGATGGATCACTCGATAATTGCCCTGTTCATCTCTTCTGAAGCACCTGGCACTAGCCGCTGTCGGAAGACAGAATCCTGGGCTAGATGGGCCGTTGGGCTGACTCAATACGGCCGTTCTTTTGTTTTTAATAAATTCTGGTGGCATAACTGGCCATATTACAGAAAGGGATGCTCAGAGAAGCCATTAATGAGTCAGTTAGGTTCTGTTTAAGTGACAGCAGTTCACAGTCAGTTGGATAAGTGGGTTTATTTAGTCTGGTCTGTTTCTACCTCTAAATCCTTGGCTTCCAGATCCGGAGTCGTAGCAGTGCCCTCCAGTTTTCTGTCCTGGGAAGGATCTCTGCTTCCTGTGGGTTCTGAATAATGAATGCCCAGCTTCTGTAACTACCCTCAGCCTTGCAGTGTACATCAAGTTGAATTTTAGTCCTGAGCTCTGTAACTGTTGATTTTGCTCCAGCAAGACCTTGTTACCTCTTTGTAAGAGGTGTGTAACACTCCAGATAAATAGCAGTTTTAGAGAACAATAAATTCTCAGTTCATCTTGCAGTTGTTAGGACATGGTTCAGGATTCAAAGACTACGAGGAGAGTCTTGGACAGCATAGATACAATGGCCTTTTTCCTTGGCAATCTCCTGGCAGATATCTGTAGTCCCCAATTCTCCTCCTAGACTAGCAGATCTTGTAGCAGAAGCACGTGGAAAGCCTCTGGTTTCTTACTATTGATGATCTCTGGCAAACTGACTCTCTCAGGAATTTCTCAGACACGCTGTATTGCCAAGCTCATCAGTGCTATTTTGCCAAGTTTCCTCCATTTGCTCGGGGCTTTTCAGTGCATCTGAAAAGTTTAATCTGCAGGAACTTTTCTGGATAGTGGGTTGTGTAATCCACACTTGACTGCCTGTGTCTTATCCTGGAGCCAAGGAACTCTTGTCCTCCTTCTTGGAAAGAGTCAAGCACATTTGAAACTCTTTCCCCAACTCTATGGAAACAGGAAGAGATGACCACACAGCATTCCCTGCACAAACAAAGGTTCTGGAAATGCTGTAGAAAGTCTGTGTCACCACATACAAAATGGTTCTGATCCTTTTTGGTTGGTGAAAGCCTCTGGGAAACACCAGGCCCTCTGTCGACAGAGATTGTCCTTCAAGGAAGCACCAACAATCTTCTACCCACCCTCAGATCCGCAATATTTCTGCCAGCGCTTGAGAAACCAGCTGACACTAGGATCCTCGCCAGTTACTGCTCTGTCTCCTGAGAAGAAGGATGCTGTACAATTTGGCTTGTTGCTGAGTTCCGCTGATAGACCCTTGTTAGCCAGAGGTGAACCCTAGCTGTAGTAGGGCGGTGGTACCAGCCAAGCTGATGAGCTGTGGGCAGAGCCCAGGGAGCTATGCTAATACTGGTAATCGATCAGCAGCCTTTATAAAGTGATTGTAAAGTGCTGCGGATCTGCCTGTGAGGCCTTTCGGGGGGAGGATGGAGTCACTTAAAAGTGGTTTCACTCAGTCATCCTGGATAGAGCCCACAGGGCCCTAATGGGTAGCTGCTTCTATTCACAGAGCTCGTGTGAAGTCCCACAGAGACTCAACATACCAAACCCTTGGGAGAGGTTGCAAGATGCTATGGGTTGCAGTGCCATCTCTATGCTGAGGGCACCCAGCTCCACATCTCCTTCTCATCTGGCACAAACACCACTGTTACCCCAGTGTCCCTCATCTGAAGGCACCTGGATAAACAGAAGCAGGTTCATTCTCAGTCCATTGACCAAGATGAGGTTGGTAGGAGGAGAGGGAAGTGGTTTGAGGAACTGGCAGGAGCAATAATAAATGCCTGGCTTCTGTAACTTACCCTCTGGTAGTCAAGGGAGCCTGGAGTTCATCTTGGCTTAGGCGGTGGTCTTGTGGCTTTCCTTGGATGCAGGCCTAGCCGTGGGGAGAGATGGCTTTTTGACACTTCCACGGTGGGCTACTACAGGGCCCTCTACCTGAGGCTAACTGAAGGCCATGCAGTAGTTTCAGGTAGTTCATCACGTAGTGGCCTACAATCTGGGTCAGGCAGATCCATGAGAGCACATTCCCATAGTGTTCCATGGTCGTCCGGCTCCCTGTCCGCTTCCAGATCCATTCCAAGATCCTGGTCCATCTCTCCAATGGGCAAGGCCTTGCCAGTTCTAAGCTTGGCTGTGCCAGCAGGGAAGTTGAGGCCTGAGGTCCCAGGGTGAAACAGGAGGAGGAGGAGGAGGGCATTGTCAGGGAGGCCCTTGGCTCTGGAACTTGCTATCACTGGCAATAAAGGTGAGGCTGGATCTGGTGCCAGGGACAGCCCCTTCTCTTTGCACAAGGCTCTCTCACCTGTTGGAAGCTGTGAGTCTGGCACAAGCCCGTTGCATCTCACTGTTCAAGTCTCTGCTTTCAGCAGGTTTGTGCTGATGAGCTGAAAGTCTGAGACTAATAGAGCAGAGTGTGACTTTGATTTCAACAGCAGCCTTGGCTAGCACCAGGCGTGGTACTTTCAACAATTAAATTAGCCTCATTGGTACGTGTGTGTTTCCCGTGCAGGGCTCCTGTGGTTTTGGCTTTGCCCTCTCATTGCATGCTTGGTAACGCAGTTGTGCTGTGCTGCTGCCCTGCCCTGTCCCCTTGGTGACCTCTTCTGGCTTCCAGTGACCATTTCTTTTCATGAAGATGCTCGAAGCAAGCTCCCCGTCAAGTGTGAGGGCAATCGCTGTGTCCCGGGGAGCGGGAAGGGAATCAAACAACCTGACTCTTTAGAGGCAGATGGAGTTGCACCTGCCTGCCTTGTGGCTGGATTTGCTCCCCGGAGTCTGTGCAAAGCGGGGTGAGAAAGGCAGTGTAGTTTTCTACTGCCTGCAAGAAAAGCAGATGTTAAAGACGCCGAGAGCTTTGGAAGCCGACCGTTTTCTCACTTTTTGGACAATGCTTACAGTGAAATTGCTCATGAGAGGGAACCAAACATTGAAGAGCAGATTCCTACAAGCAGGAGGGCTGGAACAGTCTGTACAGTGGGGCGCTGAGAGCCATGGAACCAAACTGCAAACCCTGCATATAATGCAAACCACTTCAAGCCAGGGGGTGCAGCAGCCCCCCCAGCTCCAGTGCCTACACCTACAAGGAGCAGGAAGTTTGGATTCCTTCAGGCTGCTGTATTTGAGAGCTGTAGCCTGGAGAGCCTGGGCTGTCACTGAGCACAGCAGTGTACATTGGGTGCATCACACCGGCCGTAGCTCTTAGTTTCTCCTCGTACACTGAGTATGAGCGATGACCTTGTAACAAAAAGCATTGGCTGCAGCTGGGAGATATTTAATTGATGAAGGTTTTTTTTGACTTGTGATCTTATTCAAGAAGCATTTGGTTGAGTGGCCCCTTGAGCTTGTACCGGCCTTGTCGGCAGATGAGCATTGTTAAAAGGTTGGGTCAGCCTGGAGCAGGCCCCTCTATCCGCTGCAGGGATCTCCAGGCTGTCTTTGACCGCATGCCAAGTACTTCTGGGCAAAGGGTTTCTCTGCCCGGAGGTGCAGCCTCCCACCAGCAGAAGTAAAACCTAGTTAAATGGTGCGTGCCGATTCTTTGGGTCAGTACATAAGGAAGATTTAAGACTTTCTGGAGCTCAGCTGCTCTGTGTATGTTTGGGCCCATCAGGCTTGGCTGGATTCCCTCCAGCAGCTCTTTGCACTGGAGCTGTACAGTGGAACATTGTGAAGCAAATTAAACATTCCTCTGCATGTCATTTTACTCCTGAAATTGTTAAATGTCTAGACTCTGTGTACCCACAAATGGTAAAACAGAGGGGCCTGCTGCACTCGGTGACTGCGCGTCTGAGACTAGAGACACATCAAGGGATTCTGATCTCCCGGTATGCTGCGCTAGATCCCTTTCCAGTCAGTGATCCATTTCCCGGTAGCAGGTTTTATAAGTGTCTGTTCCAGGCATGGGAACAAGCAGCATCTGCAAAGGAAAGTCGGGTACGTTCCTAAATCACATCGGGGATCTGGGATGAGCACTGAGGACAGGAGCGTTGCGAGTGATCTTAGAGATCGTTTTGGTAGTTGCAAGAAGGAAGAAGAAGACTGATGCAGCGCAACTGCTGGTGCAGCAGTGCATCGAGAGTGGGCTGAGGATTTACAGCGTCTGCTTGGATTCGACAGGAGGGGGATAGACCCTTTGAGGCCTAGAACTGACAGGCCTTTAAACTAGGGCTGGGAGGGCAAAACCAGAGCTTTCACGTCACTCCATCGGGGTGTGTGCTTCTCACATACAAAGGAAAGGCCAGATTGCCACATGGCATTATGGACTTCACCCCTGGCTCCTATGCACAAGGGCCTGTCCAAATGTTAGCACAGGGCTGCTCTCCCCAGGCGACTGCAGGGGCGCGTGTCACTCCAAGGTGGTGGGCTCTGGCAAACAGCATAGGACGAGGGAGAGTCGTGGGGGTAGAGCCAGGTGGAAGGAAATAGAGAATCGATGAAGGGGCCCAAGGAAGTTGAGGGGAGGGTGATGTGGGCAGAGGCCTGGGAGTGGAATATTATTTTAACTGCTGAACCTTGGGTAGACTGAGGAGGGGGTAGACGGGGAGCTGGAGGGGGGAAGTTACTCTAATCCCAGCTAGAGCAAATCATGGTGTGAAACAAAGTTTTGGCTTTAGGGACAGAGCAAAAGGGGCAGCTCTTAGAAATGACACTGAGCGCGAAGTCAGAGCCCGGGTGTGACTGGAGAAGGGAAAGGAGTGGTCAGAACTAATCCTCTGGTGCAGGGGGCCAACCTGAGCCTGAGAAGGGGCCAGAATTTACCAGTGTACATTGCCAAAGAGCCATAGTAATACGGCTGCAGCCTCCCATCAGCTCCCGCCCGTGCTCCCAGCTCCTCCCGCCCACCGGCAGCCCCACCGGTAGGACTTCCCCCTCCCTCCCAGCGTCCCGACCAGCTGTTTTGTGGTGTGCAGGAGGCTGGTGGGGGGGGAGGAGCGAGGGCACGGCAGGCTCAGGGGAGGGGGCGGGAAAGGGTGAAGTGGGGGCAGGGCCTGTGGCAGAGTCAGGGGTTGAGCAGTGAGCACCCCCCACACATTGGAAAGTTGGCGCCTGTAGCTCCAGCCCCGGAGTCGGTGCCTAGACAAGGAGCCGGATATTAACTTCTGAAGAGCGCGTGTGGCTCCGGAGCCACAGGTTGGCCACCCCTGCTCTGGTGGGAGCATGAGTGTGGGGATATGCATGCTTGCTCGTTTTGATCCAATTCTGCAATCCGTGGAGGAAGGGACTGCAGTAGGCATAATGTATTAGGGTTTCAGGAAACCACTTAATACTGTGTCTTGCAAAATCCTAGTTGGATAAATAATTCAGCTTGGTTTGGGTAGGGACCCTCCTGGACTGAAAACCTGCTACGAGGGTATCAGCAAAGGGTAATGATAAATAGCCAGGAATCTAGTTCTGGGAAGGTATGTAGCAGAGGCCACAGGGGCTGGTGTTAGGACGCTCAAAAAATCCACTGATGATATTAAATTGGGAGGAGTTCCCGACACACATCAGTATAGAGAGACAATCCAGGGTAAGGACTATGGGCAGGAAACAGCAAAATGTAGCATATCCATCCAGGGTAAAATAACCTGAAGTGTGCACACCACATGGGAAGGAGCAGTCTGGGACAGGAACGGTGGCACGAGATGGAGGGTGAGAGCAGACAGCAAATTCCAAACGTGGCTGACACTCAGGGCTGGCGCTTCCACTAGGCGACCCTAGGCGGTCGCCGGGCGTGGCATTTTGCCATCCTCGGAAATTCGGCGGCGGGGGGTCCTTCCGCTCCGGGTCTTCGGCGGAAATTCGGCGGCGGGGGTCCTTCCGCTCCGGGTCTTCGGCGGAAATTCGGCGGCGGGTCCTTCACTTGCTCCAGGACCTGCTGCCGAAGTGCCCCGAAGACGCGGAGCGGAAGGACCCCCGCTGCCGAATGCTCAGAGGAGGAGCGCTGCTGCCTAGGGCGGCAAAAACCCTGGCGCCGCTCCTGCTGACACTAAATGCCTTTTGGGGGCTGCAGAGTACGAGGCCTGCTGTCAGGGAGCAGGGAGATGTTAGTGCCTCTCTGGACAACACAGGGGCCTCTCCCTGGAGAACTGTTCATTGGTGGGCCCTGCTGTACTAAATGATGCAAACTGGAAGGAATTCAGTGGCAAGCAATGTAAATAGCCAGGGATCTTCAGCAACTGACTGATTTATGTGGAAACGTGTGTGGCTTGACTAAGGCCTAATAGGGCAATGTATGTAAGCACACGTGGCATTTTAAACATGTGAATAGTCCCATTGAATCAATGAGCTTGAAGTAACACAGGTGCTTATGCAGTTTGCTGAATCGAGGCCTATTGCGGGAAGCCCCAAGACTACACATGTTTGAAGGCTGTGACCATCAACAAGGAATGGCTGACGGGAACACATGGAGGTGTAACGTGCTAGGATGGAATTAGGGGCCAGGTAGGCTGGCGGTGCTGCCTGGGAGGGGTATGAGGCTGTCTCCCCAAATGAAAGGTTGAAAGCGCTGCCTCTTGGGGCACTTAGAGCTGTCCAGGACCGAATGCTAGAAGCTGTGCTGAAGGGAACAGTCCTCACTTGCCAGGCTGCTGGATGTTCGGAATTTGCTTATGAATATCAAGATTTTCCTAAGGCCAGACAGGTACAACAGGTGCACTGCATTGCAGTGACTGGCATGAAGTCTATTGTCTCTTTCTGCTCCTGTTTGCATGTCAGTCTGTATCTTTGCTTGCTCTTTGAATGGTTACAGAATGTTCTTCAATTAACGTTTGAAATTCAAATGTCACACAAATGGAGGATGGTTCCTTAGAGCCAGTGTTTTTGTCTGCATGTCTTGGGGAAGGGCGAAGGGCACCACTACTTGTGTCATTTGTGTACTTTGTGTTTTCCTTTGCAGCAGGAGTCAAAGGAGGAGAATGGATTACAGAAGAAAAGAACCAAGCAGCAGCTGGATAGAGTGAAGTTTGCCGCTAAAAGAAAAATTGCACGTAGGTCTTACCTAAGCTGGGTAGAGGGCAACCGGACCGCGGTCAGTATCTTGGGGGTGGGGGTGGGGAGTTAAAGGTTTCCTGGGATTCCAGGCTGACTCCCTTGCACAATGATGAATTTCACCCTTCCTGAATAGACTGTCTGTCACTTGTGTGTTCCCCAGGATGAGAGTGCACACACTAGTGCTCTTCCTAGGTGTGTGCGCAAGCGCGCGCACATCACATCCAAGATCTAGGTTAGGTGTGGAGCTGTCCAGGAAATAACTGCGTCCCCCACTAGAGCTGCTGGTTGGGCGTCTCGGAGGCAGCGCTCCAAATAACGTATCCAGTTCAAAACAATACGAGGAGTGAAACGTTTTAGTGCAACAGCTGCAGTGAGGAGTGCATCTCTGACGCTGCTGGGAACGCTGATTTCAATGAACTGGGCTTGCCGTTTGGATAGTGCCATTGCCTGGCACTGCCTGCCGCTTGCCCCATGGCAGACAAGCAAAGGAGATAACAGAATAGGGTGGGGGCAGCAGGTTTCCTGAAACGGCTGTAGGAATTGCGTTAAAATGGGACTGAATCATAGGCCATGTCCCTCGTGCGTGTGGCTCACACATGCGCTCCTTGTGTAACGAGAAAGGGGCCCATGCCTCTGGCTCTCCAGCCACTCTATAATGGGTCGGGACCTTTGCAGTTTGCTGGATTTCTGTACACCGAGAATCTGGGCCAAATGGGGCAAATCCTGCCCCCCTGTCTGTGGAGGCAGAAAGCCAAGCCCTCTGCGTGAAGTAGCTGGAGTGAGGAACCTGAACAAAGGGGGGGCGCTAACGCGCACTGTGAGTCCAGCTCTCTGGGGTCTTCGTGCCTTGCTGTCCCACTGGATTTGGAGCTAGGAGTGGGGCATATCCATTGGCCATTCCTTAGCATAGGGGTGGCCCAGCTGCCACAGAGGTGCGCCTGTCCCGAGTCTTGGCTGGGCTGACTCCTCTGCCGCTCCACAGCTGGCGTGTGTGCAGGGGATCGGTGTGCTGTCCCTTCAGCTTCCCACACACGGCCTGCTGCAGGCCTTGGGGCATCATGCCTTGTGTGGGCTCTTACGTCCTGACCTAGCGTGGGGAAGGTTTCCATGGGATTTGGATGCAGGTCTCTGGGGGAGAGGGGTCAGCTAACAATAATTAATTAGGCACTTTCGGTTTCAGGGCTGCTCTTTTATTGATTATAAACGAGAATGAGGTTTTTGGTGTTTATTTTTAGGCAGATTAAGCTTTGCAGTAAAAATCTTTTTTCTCTGTGTATTTAAACGTGTTCTTGAATTGCATGGCAAATTGGTTCTGTAAAGGCACTCTGCCTACGGGCAGAGTGGGAGCTTCCTCCCCAACCCGTTCCCCATGCTGGGCGCTCTCTCCAGGCTCTGGTTTGTAAAACGTAGCCTCCCGTTCTTGCCTTCTTGCCATGTTCCTCATTTTAACCTAAGCCATAAATCTAGTAGATCTGTGACGTTTGATTCAGAGACAAACCCCACAGAAATCGCTCTCTGTCTTTTCTGGCTGAAGTTGGTGCTTTAAAGCACATTGGAACATCTTTATTGTAATTGCACTCTGGCTATGTGGAAATGATGCGATTCTGCATTTCCATTTTGAGTTAATCTCACATTAGCAAGTGTTAGAACTAGAATTAGTGGGGTTGGCGTCTCATTCACTTTGGAAATGTTAAAAGGAAACATAAATTGCACAGTAAATTGCCATATTAGCATTTTAAAAGACTCTGAAATGTTTTAATTTGTTTAGGGCTGTGATGTCTTAAAAACAGTCTGTCTGCATCTCTCTCCCCTGCCACCATGTTTCTTGGCTGGGCTTGGTCCCAGTGGGTATGGGCTGTTGGATTTCATGCCTTGTCACGATGAACGTCTTCAGTGTCTCTTGGAGTGTGGTATGTAGGAAGCTCAGCTTTGGAATAATGGAACTACTACTCCTTAAAAAATATAAAGCAGAGGCATTCTTGTGGGAAGGCTCAGGGTGGGCGTGTGCATGGGCTCACATGTGCCCCTTATTTGCTGGCCGGTGGTTATTTCTCTGAAACCCTGAGAATCTGCCATCTTATTTGGACACCCTTGAGATGCATCTTGCCTTCTAAAGCACAGCTTCTATTTTCGTGCCTCAGAGTTCTGAAATAGTCTGTTTGCACACATCAGTAGGAGGCTAACACAATACTTAGAATTTCTAATCACCATAAATTATGACCAGTATAATCAACATGAAGCGCACACACATTGTGAGTGTCTGCGTGCAGTGCTTAGATACCATCAGATGTACTATTCTGGGTCTCGCAGACTAGTCAGTGTACGCACAGCTCGGCTGAAACAGATCAGCCCCTTTGGATTTTACGTGATCTGAGCGGCTCCATCCACTCTCCCAGCAGTCGCGTATTTCCAGGTGGAACTAGGCCTGGGACTTCCCCACTCCTCAAAGCACCTACCCATCTGGGAGGGAAACAAACACATTTCAGTTTTTTCTCGTTGGTTTTCCAGAGGCAGCACTTTTCTAGCTGTTCCACATCCACTTGGGTGGAACTGACAACAAAGGTACAATGGGAATTTACTGAGAAATCGGTGCATTTATTGAACTGCCTGTGTGTTGATAGCCGCATTCTGCAAATACTTGTGCACCTGGGTAACTTTAAGCACATGGGGAGCCCCAGTGACTGCAGTGGGGGTTATTTAAATGCATAAATGTACTTGCATGTGTACATGCTTGCCCGGTTGGGTCATAGTCTTCCCTGGCTTACAGGGCGTGGGGTTTGAACAAGAAAGGTGCTGGCTGAGTGCGGAGTATTGTTATGTTTGGTGACAGGACCCTTCTCTGATAGATGGAGAATTGTGCAGTGTTTACACTGATGAGAAAATTCTCTTGTCATGGTTCCTTCTAGCTGGAAAATTACAGCATGACTTTGTCCAAGGACAAAGATTCCCCTGGGTCCTGAGTGCACCGCAGTCTGCCTTCACTTCACCCTGTTTCTTTCTTTTTTCTTGATTAATTTGTAAAGAAAAATACAGAAACTAACAATACACTGCTCTGAGATGGCACATAAGTGAATCCAGCAGTTGTAGTCAGAATAGTTGAAAGAATGATCCAACCTCACTTCAGTGGAGTAAATAACTTTGTCAGCACAGAATGGGAGAACATCACCAAAGTGTGATGTCCTGTGGCTGGCTGAATGCAGTTGTGGTGTCATTACAAAAGTCAACACATTCCTCCGTTTTTCTCAAGTGAAACAGTGCTGCTGGATTCCACGTGCAGCCGGGAGGCAGCGGCTGGTTTAGAAAGCAGAGGCCAGGAGTCCCTGGGTGTGGCTTTCCTGGGGGACATTTCTCCTGGAAAATGGGCTGTGTTCGAGATGCTATAGTTGAGGCTGAGGGGGCCCTTTTGTTCAAAACTCCAATGGTTAGTTGCTTCTCAGCTTTCAGAAAGTGTCTTTCGGGCTAGGAGGGTCCAGGCTTTGTTTTGCCCCCGGGTGCAGGTGTGCACAGGCCTGAGGGGGTTGAAGGACATCTGCCAGTTGTGTTTGAGTTGTGACTGTGACCATGTATTTTTCAGCGCCTAAGAGAGCTGCTGAGTTGCTTTTCCACATTCTCCATTCTGCAGGTGTTGTGTATTTTAAGCATGGTGAAGTGTGGGGTCAGAATCTAAGTAAATAGGTGTTCTCCCAAGTAACTGCTTGGTTTGAGAAAGGCAGCCTGGCTTCTAGGCTGCTGTGACTGAAGAATCCTTTTGGGAAGAAATGTGTTGCTGAACTAGCAGTTCTGAATGCATCAGCCCTGGCACAGTGATCCATCAAAGCAGTGATGGGAGCAGGGCGAGGGGCCATTTGCACGTGGCAGAGCTTTCTGGGTACTGCCCAGCAGATACAGCGTGCATCCGCTTCATGGGGTGAGCCCGGCTCAGCACCTTTCCCTGCTCTTCAGTAGGGCCGCCCAGGATATCACACACCACAGGGCAATGTGACGTGATATGTGGCCAGTCATAAAGTGTAATGCAAAGGAACTGCTGCTCTGCCAGTGAGACCGAACCTTATAAATATGTTGGTTCGTGCTCAAAGTCTAGCTTCTTCCCGTGTCCTTAGGTGCACGTCCTGTCTGCAGCAGTGCCAAATGCTACCTCTGTTGCACGCTGAGGGGATGAAAAGTCTTTTTGTAGTGAATACACCAAAGGAGTCAGAGCTAAGATTGCTATGGAAACCTTAACTGAATTTCCGAGCTTTGGGTCAGTGATTCAGCATTGCACAAGTGTATTATTTTGCATTTAGTACTGTCTGTGCCCATGTCAAAAGTACCTCGTAAGGAAAGCTGAGATTTAACAGCTTTGGTCTGGTGTAAGTTTTTGTCCTAGGAATGTGAGCGTCCCTAGGTACCTTCCTCCACGTGCCACATACGTGCTGGGTGTTCACGTGGGCTAGTCTATGTGGGGACATCCAGGAATGTTAATCTGAATTAATTAAGGTGTATATTTGAAGTGGATTAGTTAAACCACATTAAACCCTTGTTTGAACCCTCCTCCCACAAGTCAGAATTGAAGTGGGTTAATTCAGTTTAGTTTGTTTAACTTCAGAAGTGAATTAAGATACCAAATTAAGACCACTAATTCTGAATTAACAGCATCCACACAGTGGTTAATGTGGGTTAACTAATCCATTTCAAATTCGCTCCTTTAGTTAATTTGGATTAATTTCCTGACTGTCCCCATATACCCAAGCCTGTAGCTTTATACCACCAGGTGGTGGTAACCTGTCTTCTTTCTTTAGAGATGACTGAAGATGAACAGTTTGCACTGGCTCTGAAAATGAGTGAGCAGGAAGCCAGACAAGTGAACTGCCGGGAAGAGGAAGAAGAGGAGCTTGTGCGGAAGGCCATCGCCGAGAGCCTTAATGTAAGTGTGCCTTTGTACAGAGGCTCACAGAACTGTTGCTTCACATACTCCCTTTGGTCTCCATGCAGGAAAGGAGTCTTTACGGGGGCTAGTTTGTGTGGACTGACGGGAGAACTATAGCAGTCTGGGTGACTTGTAAGGCACGTGGGGACTAACCTCGGTTGTTCCTTGTGTTGTTGTAAAAAGCAAATCTTTTGTTTTTCAGAGCTACCAGCCTTCAGATTCCCCTACTGTGACCTCTGCATCACCTCCTGCACAGGCAACATGCGAGCCAGTGCAGAGCCACCCGGCTGAGATCCATGGAGCTGTGCCATCTTGCCCCGACTCCCCACGGTCGGAATGCAGCTCCCATTCCTGGAGCACAAAAGGTGATGGGAATGGACAGACGGATGTTGCCAAGAGCCCCCTTGTAGTGCTGACAAGGTTAAGCCAGGAAATAGTTGAAAGCTCACTATTATCCAGCATAATCGTCTCTCCAGGGAAGAGCCAGCCTTTAACCAAGTCAAATGAAAAGCCTTCCTCACCAGCAAGAAGCCATTTCAGGGACACGTTACCCAGCCCTTCTGGGGAGGACCTGATCTCCCTGAGCCCCACCTTTGGCCGGATTACTCCAGGCGCTTGGCAACTGACGCCTCGGAGACTGTTTTCAGGGTCGTGCAGCACTTCAAAAGCAATGGGTGGGGAACAAGACAAGCAACCTCTGGCCAGCACTGGAAGCTCTGCGGGAGAGCCCACGGCTGGCAGCTCAGCAGTGCTCCGGAAGGGCAGGACCTGGGAGCCGGGTGGCATTCCAAGGAAGAGCTGTGGAGCAGGAGGCCCTGAGTGTGCACCACAACATGGGCACCGTGGGCAAGGCTCCGTTTGTGTTGAGCACGTGGAACGGAATGAGGTGCCTGACAACGCACCCGAGCTTTGTACACTGAGCATGGCTGATGAAAAGTGCAAGCAGGAAGATGCTAGAGACACAGTGCACTATTACTGGGGTATTCCATTCTGCCCCAAAGGGGTGGACCCAAACCAGTACACCCAAGTCATCTTGTGCCAGCTGGAGGTGTACCAGAAGAGCCTGAAGCAGGCTCAGAGGCAGCTCTTGCAGAAGAAGGAGTTTGGTGATCCAGTTGTGCCCTGCTCTTCTCCCCTGAGCCAGAATGAGCATGGGAAAGGGGAGCGAATAAGCAGGGAAAATGGTGTTCCCGACGACACAGAAGATGGCAGGAAGGAGCCAGAGAGTGCTGCCTGGCTTCTCGCCACAAAGAACAGGGAGCCCGAGCAGAATCCAGGGCAGAACTTGGAAGAGGAAAAGAACTCTACGTCCGAGGAGGAACCAACCACCAGCTATTGCCAGGTAACGGAGTCAGCTTGTACGTATTGTACATATAGGATGAGCAGGGGGTGCTAATGCTCTTGACTTCTGTCTAGGGGCCAACCTGTGCAACAGACCAGACACCAGCAAAGGTCAGTGCCTTTCCTTTCTAATGTTTGTGCCCTGTGGCTCCCTTCCCCCATCAGCAGCTCAGCCACAGGAGAGGAGAGGGCCCCTCTGCTGTGTGCTCAGCTCCCAGACTACGCCGAGCACCACAGGGCATTGCCACATGTACAGCCTGCCTGGCAGCGCTCCAGAACCGCACCCACTCCTTCAAGAGCTTCATCGCCAGAGCCTTAGAGCAATCCCAAGCAGGGTTGGCAAAGCGCATGCGAGTGGGGCCCAGTGACCTGTGGCACCACAGCTTAATTGCCCCCCCAAGCTGTCCAGGCGGAAACGTGGTTCCAGGCTGATGGCCTGGCCTTTTCCTCTTGCACAACAGGCAGGTTTGTGGGTGGGGCACCTATACCGTTGTACTGACCTTTTTCTCTTACGTCCTTTCTACCGCAGACCATAGAGTGAAGTGCTCCAGAGTAACTGTGTGTGTGTGTGCTGCTTGCCAAGGGTTGTCTGTGGTAGCAGGTGCTGTCGAGTTTGCAGTGCTAGTCTGCCTGGCCCGAATTGTTCTGTCTGATGGACACTAGGTGTCAGTGTTTGCCACTTTTCAGGGCACTGTTGGCAGTGCTGAAGACAGCTTTCTGTCATTGCGAAGTTTAAACAGATTGCATGTCAGATGAAGTATTTATTACTGCTGTATTTTAGCTTTGTGTCAGCCTTTTCCAACCCTCATTTTTCATAATGACTTACTCCCAGATCATTGTACAATTGTATCTTCTCTGTGACGGCAGCCTCAGCTCTGTTCCTATTTCCAAGTGTATTTGATCATTGACCCCAGTTGATAGAAAGATACTTACCTTGTTCTGTGATGTTTATATTCTGTCTGGTAATATTGAACACTCTCAGGAAAAGCATCATGTCTGCATTTTCTGTAGAACGTAGAAGTGCCATGCAGTCTGTGCTCAGCCTTTGTTTCTTTCTTTCTTGGGCTTGGATTTGGAGGCTATATTTAAACAAGCCTTAAAGGTGACCTGCAGAGGGAAAAAATTGGCCTTGTGCCCTTTTTTGGCTTCTTTATGATGGATACAAAGGACCCAAGAGATTTGTGTCACAAGCATTTTTTTCTCCTCATCTTTTCCATTAGAAATTCAGGTCTTGTTGAACTTGGAAGGCTCTGTGGTGACTGGAGAACTAAATTATGGGCTCAAAAGACACTGGAAACTGCAGCAATTGAGAGAGGAAGGAGGGACTTTTAATCCGATTGTTTAAAACTTGGGGGAGGGGGATGTTAATACATATGTAACCGTAGTGCCTAATGGACTTTGGAAGACAAGATGTCTCAGAGATGCAAGGCAGGAGCTCACAGTGCACGTCGTCTGAACCCCCAAGGGCCTCCAGCAAAGCCAGGGAAGAGCAGATTCGACCCTGCTGATATTTTCAGGAAAGCCTGAAAACTTTTCTGTGAAACCCAGAGCACAAAACCCTGCAGGTCTTCATCTGCCATAAAGAAGCAAAACCAAAAAAAAAGAGCGTGGGGTTCATTTTACAGTCGGCTTTCTCGTCCCCTTCCCCGATGCTAACCGAAGAGTAGAGCCCCCCTCCCATTCACCTCGAGCCACTGCAGGTGATCTGCTGCCAGGTTCAGGATATTTACAGCTCACCTGAGCCTTGTCTACGCCACTTTTTCTGTCAAATTTCCCACTGCTGCTGCCACAGACTTTACTTCACTGCTGGCGGTGGTGATGGGAACCCAAGGCCAGTGCAGTTCTGAACCTGTTCAGAGTCGGCTGCCGGTGCTTTCCCACGGCAGTAACTGGGGTGGAGCTGACAGCAGTGGTGGGAAATTCTAGGCCAAAACTCCTGGTGTTGTCACAGCCTGGACTGGGGGTGACCAGATGTTCCAATATTAGGGGCTTTGTCTTATATCGGCAACTATCCCTCCTCCCCCTGAAAAAAAAGTGTCCCGATTTTTCACACTTGCTGTGTGGTCACCGCACCTGGAGGTTCCCCACCCCCAGGTCAGGCTGCTCTTTGTGGTCGGCTTGTGTCGCTGGGGGAGCTGCTGGCCGTCCCACCACACCCACTTGGAGCGGTAACTGCTTTTCTGCCAGTTCCTCTGTGATCAACCCCTCTCCCCTGGTGCTGTGCCGAGGAACAGTGCTTATGGTACCCTTCTGTACACTGCCCTGTGACCCAAACCGGGCGAGAGACCTCCTGTGTCGGTTCATTCCATTACCGGCCCCTTGATTGTCCACAAATTGCCAACGAGCCCCGTCACATTTGGCTAATCAGTGTTGTCAGAAAAACTCACCATTTTCAGGCTCTTATGAACAAAGTTCAGAGTGAATTGAATCGATTCCTTCCTATTTTTCAAAGCCTTTCACACAGGCAGGCAGATTTCTGGTCTCTGAAAGGTTTACACAGGGCACTCCCTCTGTAATTGAACGGCGGGAAGGTAGCTTGGAAAATCTTAGCCGGCTCTGGAGAATGAGGAACTGGCTGCTGCTGGCCTGTGTTTTATTTATGATCAGCATTATTTCCTTTCCAGGCCTCCCAGGCGCTATTTGCGGAGGACATGCCTGAAGATGGGGAACCAATGCAGATTACACAGAGGTGAGGAGCAGGGGTCAGTTCAGAGCATTGGTTCCTGGACACACCACCCTGCGCCCCAGGCAGGAGAGTGCTCTGGGAGTGCTGCGGGCTGCACTTGCTGCTGATAGATGTCGCTGGACAGTGCCGGCCAGAGTCAGCTCAGAGACAATGGGGAGAGGAGAACTCTCGTTGTTGTGTGACGACAGCATCCCGACATGGGCTAGGGCTGTGCAGGGCAGCTGAGCGGACGTGATCCTTGCCCTGGGGAGCAGCAGTCTAATCTGACCGGACGTAACAGAGCAATAGGACGGGGCTGGGGCGGTAAGGATGAGACACAGCAGTAGGATCGCATGGCCTTTCCAGGAAGGCAACTACGCAGAGAGTCTATTAAAAAGAGATTTCTTTGAAGAGGAAAGAACAGGGGGGAAGGCAAAGAAAATGTCGTGCCAGAGACAGTGCCCCCTGTGTGCCCCAGATGGAAACCGCACTCCAGGGAAGCCAATCCAGGCCTCAGCCGGTGGCGGGAATGGGCCATGGCAACACGATTCTCCTCTGATTTTACCTCTACCCCTTTGTCCGGTAAAACCAGGCTCTGAACAGGACCCCAGGAGCGTTGGCTTCTGGTTGCCCTCTCTCACTGCAGGGCTAGGAGACATTGGCTGGGGTGGTTTGCAGTTGTTATTGCAGACTAGATAAGCTCTGAGCGGCAGGCATATGGGGAGGACTTGGGGAACAGTTTACTAGGGAGGTTTCAATATTTGCAGGCATTGCAAGCCCAGCTGTGGGAAGCTGCTTGATTCTCATGGTACTTGAAACTACTTTTATATTCAAAATGCTTTTGGCATAAAGCTGCTGCCTTTTCCCTGCCTGCTCCCCACTCTCTTCTCCCCCTCACTGCTATGGCAGTATTGGGGCTGAACACCTGAGATTCGGGGCAGGGCTTCCAAAGCTGACTGCTCACCTCGCGCCAGTAGGAAGCTCGCCCGGCGGAGCAAGGGGACCTTCGCTGCCTGGCTTCTGCAGAACTTTAGCCGTTTTTAAAAAATGCAGAAGGTGTCTAGCCCTTATGGCTGGGAAGAAAACCTTCAGGTGTGAACCGATGCAGTGCTGGCCCCTGTTGCCAAGCAGAGCTGTCCCAGGCAGCAGAGGCAGTGAAATAAACCAGACTCTGGTAAGTTTCGTGGCTGCTGAAATGTGCTTGGGGAGTATGCCCTGTTTAGGCTACTACTAGTTGGGTCAATTTCAATCTGTTGCTGCTTGAAGCTGGTGGTGACAATGATCCCCTGAAAGAGGCTGACTGGTGGAGCCTTCCCTCCCTTCGGAGCAGCAGGAGGCCCTGTGGTTGGGACGTGAAGGAAGAGGCAGTTCCCACCCCCTCTTCCAGAGGGCTCCTTTGTGTCCAGGTAGCAGGTTTAATCCTCTGTTCGATCTGACCCGTGGGCAGCTGACGTGCCAGAATGTGGCCCCGTGAATGCTACAGTGCAGCCGATGGCCGCTCTCTTTTGGCTCAAGCGTCACCACTGCCTGCTGTGACTTCTCATTTCAGCAGACAGCCCCTGTGTATGCAGATAACGGTGGCTGCAGTCTTCTGATTTGTGTGCACATCAAGCGAGCTCTCTGGCTGCTGGCAATGTGCCAGTGCAGCCCTTTGTTGGGCAATGTCTGGGCATGCTGGTCAGGAGAACCCCTGCTCGGGTGTGGGGCGCCTGTCACACCAGTAGCAGAAGTCACACAGGCGTTCGAGCCCCACGCTTGGTGCAGAGCGCAGCGGATCGGACTGTGAAGGAATGGTTCTGTGCTTTGTACTCAGAGACAGGTGATGTAGCAAGCACTGTGGTTTGACTTTAAATTGATTAGCCCATTTTAGAACTGTCATAGTAAGTTGTTTTGTGAGAGTCTTTTCGAAGTCACCCCGGTGTTACACACGCAGTAAACCATGCTCAGCTTGGGCTCATAACAAATGCTTTGAGATGGTTTCTTTGGAAAGAGAAGTTACTTGGGGTTTCTGCTCAGAATTTGGTTATTTGTCATAAATCGATGGTGGCTGTTTCCTCCTCTCTAGGTGTGTGGTTAAGCTAAATAAATCTTTGATTTGCTGGTGTGGGGATTCATGCTTTTAAAGAGTGTTCTTGCATACTGGCTGAGGGGGTCAGCATGAGGAACAGACTTACTCAGCAATGGCTTCCTGTTTCAGAAAGAGATTGCACTCCAGCGAGAAAATGGAGGAACTGGAAGGTCAAACAGAGGAGCCAGACATGGTTAAACACTGCACAAAAGAGCCACTAAGCTAACATTGGCAGGACTTTGCTGTAGGGAAGCTTTGAGTAGTATCACGTTCCTGCTGCGCTAGAAAGCCATGTTCAGGGATAAAAAGAAGAATTAGCAGTAAGGATGGGGAGAAAGAGGAGTACAGTGTCAAGCAAACCTCCTCCTCTTTTGTCTCCAACGAGTTCCTTGATATAGGTAAGGAAGCACTGCTACCCGCAGAACTCCTAGAACTGAGAACAGAAAGGATCAAAGGCATCTTTTAGTTCTGAGCCGATATTTTTACTCCTCTCACATGACACAATGACCCTCCAGATCCTTTTATCATGGGCTTCTAGGAGAGGGAAGTTCCTTTCAGCCATGTGGCGTTGCATGGCATTTTAAACCTGTATGTTTGTTAGTTCTCCGGGTCCTTTCTGGCGGTCAGACAGTTATTAGCCAAAGATCCTGGAGTGTGTGTGTGTGACCCAGCTGCATGCTGTGACATTGATTGATTTGATTTGACATGTGTGTGTTTGCTTTGATAGCATTTCTGCCTTGACCCCATTTGGCAGTAAGAGGAGCCCAGACATTGCCACGGAGAGCCCTGCTGAAGAAGAGATCACAGTTTGCCCTGGTAAGAGCCATATTGAAATGTACTGAACTTTGCACTGGGTAGGACACATCATCTGCTCTTTAAATCCCCCATTGTTCTCCCAAAAGGGAAGCCCAGCATTTTTCTCTCTGTTTTTATTCATTGAGAAAAACCAAGATTTCTCCCCCAGCTGTGTTTTCACAGAGCTGAAATTCATGTGGCTGGCTTGTTTCTTTTCTTGGTTGTGCAATCTGTGTTTGCCTCTTGATTTAAAGCAGAACTTCCATCCCGAGAAACTTTCCAATCTATCCAGCTGAACCCCGGGGTACTAAGGAACTACCTGAAGCAATCTCAGAGCTGTTAGCGAATATCGTTGACAGCTCATGGAGGATGGGTGAGGTCCCAGAGGACCGGAGAGAGCAAACAGGGAAAAAAGGGGAACAAAGAGGACCCAGGGAATTATAGATCAGTCAGTCTGACTTCAATACCTGGAAAAATACTGGAACAAACTATTATACGATCTATTTGTGAGCACCTAGAGGATAACAGGTTATAAGGAACAGCCAGTGTGGATTTGTCAAGAACAAAATCATGCCAAACCAATTGAATTTCCTCCTTTGACAGGGTTATTGGCCTAGCCGATATGGGGAAGCAGAAGATGAGATATATCTTGATTTTTAGTAAGGCTTTTGAATGCAGTCCCACATGATATTCTCATAAGAAAACAGGGAAATGCGGGCTAGATGAAATTGCTGTAAGGTGGGTGCACAACTGGTGAGAGTCTGTATGCAAAGAGTAGTTATTATGATTTGCTGTCAAACGGGGAGGGTACATCTAGTGGGAATCCTGGAGAGGCTGGTCCTGGGTCCTGTACGATTCAGTATTTTCACTTGGATAGTGGAGTGGAGATTATGCTTGTAAAATTTGCAGCTGACACCAAGCTGGGAGGGTTGCGAGCACCTTGGAGGGCGGGGTTAGAATTCAAAACAACTTTGACTAATTGGAGAATTGGTCTGAAATCAACAAGATGAAAATTCAGTGAAGACAAGTGCAGAGTACTTCACTTAGGATGGAAAAATCAAATGCACAACTACAAAATGCTGAATCACTGGGTAGGTGGCAGTACTGCTAAAAAGGATCTGGGGTACAGTGGGTCACAAACTGAATGAGAATCAGCAATGTGATTGTGACAAAGTAGGAGGTTATTTTCTTAATGTTTTGCATGAATGTTGTGCGCGCCTCAGTTTCCCCTGTGTATTAAACAAATACCTAGGTGGTGGGACAAGAGTGTGTGATTTTTGCTGAGACCCAAGTGGGTAGGTGGGGCTGCCTCTAGCTGCCTGCATGCAGATAATGACCAAAACACTCCGAACCTGGCAACTGATGGCCGGGAGCCCTCTCCCTAGGAGCCCGCCAGCTGCAACAAGTTGGAACCAGGAGAGAGGTGACGATGCGGTGACCCTTTTGCCCAGAAATGAGACAAAGGACAGAGGAGGGGCAATGGGTGTGTCTGAGGCTGGGCTCCTGAAAGCGAGTCAGTCTCCAGGTTTGGGATTCGAGGAGGGATGGGGAGAGCCAGCACCCTGGGGTCTGGATTCCTCCCCCAGATGGACTTTGCTGAAAGTTCCTGATTTCTGTGCTAACAAGCTCTGTTCTACGCTGTGTTCCTGTTGACTAATAAATCTTCTGTGTTACTCACTGGCTGGGAGTCACTGCTGACTATGGAGTTGGGGTGCAGGGCCCCTTTGGAGCAGTGTGAGGCTCCCCCAGGTGTCCCAGCCAGGGGAGCTCACGGGGTGAACAGGGCCCTGACCGCTCCGAGGTCAGACCCAGGAAGCGCTGAAGCTGAGCAGGCTTCTTGCCCTGAGGGAGGAGAGACTGTGCTAGAGTAGGGTTGCCACCTTTCTAATCACACCAAACCGAACACCCTTGCCCCGGCCCTGCCCCACCCCATCTCTGAGGTCCTGCCCCCACTCACTCCATTCCCCCCTCCCTCTGTCGCTGGCTCTTCCCCACCCTCACTCACTTGCTCATTTTCACCAGTCTGGGGGAGGGCTTGGGTTG